ATTACCTTAGCTGCTCTGGTACTCCACTCCCCCAATATAGCTCTAAGCCTTTCATTCTCTTCAACATACTGTTTTTAATCAAGATATCACAAGTCAAGTACTGATACAAACTTTCGTATTTTACACACGAAGCAATGTGGTGATGACTTAAATATAACCAGCGCAACTATTTATTTATCTTCGGCCAAAGAAAATGGGTTATTTGACTTGGGCAATTATATACTACTGTCAGACTGATTAAGTGATAATATATCCAAGATTACGATTTTTTCAACTAAAAATGCACTTCTAATGTTTTATCCTAAATCTCATGCTTAACAAAGAGGAAAGTGTATCAGGCCATAGGAACCTGATTGTTAGTGGTGCGAACGCCTTGAATTTCAGAGTCCCTCTCAGCAATCAAAGATCGAGCAAGTCTTAATTCAGACTGCAACTGATTCATCTGCAGCACAATACACCCACATTTTTAGACTTCGGACACTGAAAGCAAAGAAAATTAGTGATAACTACAATCACAAGGCATGTGCAAGATCATAGGCAACAGAACGGAAAAACAACTGAAATAAAAGAAATGAAAAATTAATGAAGAAAAAAACCATCTACTAGACAACATTGAATCATTGAAATAAAGATGAAGTCGGCCATGAATAGGAGAGCAAGAAATACCTCTGCTGCAAGTGTGCGTAATTCTTGGTCGCGAGCTGCCAATAAATGCGCGAGATCAACCTGCAATATGCAATAAAATCTAATTAAAATTTTATTTCTCAAACCTATGGGAAAGCTCCCAGAGGTCGAAGGTTACAATTAAAAAACGTAAGATCATGTATCAAACTTACTAATGTCTCAGATACCAGTCATCAACATTCTTTGTTCAAAATTATGTAAAATAAAATTGAAAGAAATTCAACAATGTTTTTTTTTTTTCTCTAAATATAACCAACATCATCATTCCCTGTTATGGAGAGAGAAAAATCATTTCCACCCAAAATCGAATCAAGCAACTAGCTTCATATATGAACCAAGCACACTAGCAACACTCTACCTCAGAATCACCAATTTTACTAGATTAAGTCAGTCTTACTTTGACTAAAAAGAAAGAAAGGAAAGAAAACAAGAAACAGAAAAACAAACGTGAGTAATTTATTTCTACATAACAAGGTAACTATCTTTACACATCACACGACAAAATGATCTTCAGGGTTTTGGGTTGTGATAGGCTTGGCGAGCCAACGTAAAACCTAGCGGTTCTATGGCACAAAGTCCCATCTAAGTACATTACCCTCATCAAGGATATGTACAAGGATGCGATGACGTGTGGGGGCGATCCAGCGACTTCCCAATTAAAATAGGACTACACCAGGGGTCAACATTGAGCCCTTATTTATTTGCCTTGGTGATGGATGAGGCTACAAAGGACATACAAGGTGATATCCCTTGGTGTATGCTCTTTACTTATGATGTGGTGCTAGTTGACGAGAGTAGGGCAGGGGTAAATAGGAAGTTAGAGCTGTGGAAGGACACGTTAGATTCGAAAGGCTTCAGACTTAGTAGGACGAAGACCGAGTACATGACGTGCGCTTTCAGCATGGCTACACATGATGATGGTGACGTTAGCCTTGACGGGCAAGTGGTGGCCAAGAAGGAAATTTTTCGGTATTTAGGATCGATGCTACAAAAGGATGGCGGCATTGATGTTGATGTTAGGCATAGAATTGCAGCCGTTGGTTGAAATGACGTCAAGCTTCGGGCGTTCTTTGTGATAAGAGGGTGCACAAAGGCTAAAAGGTAAGTTCTATAGGACGGTGATTCGTTCGGCGATGCTATACGGTGCTGAATGTTGGCCTACAAAAAGACAACATCTCCAACAACTAAGTGTAGCAGAGATGCGTATGTTGTGTTGGTTCTGCGGGCACACAAGAAGGGATAGAATCCGGAATGAGGATATTCGAGATAGGATCGGGGTGGCTCCAATTGAAGAGAAATTGGTTCAACATCGGCTGAGGTGGTTCGTAAAAGAGTTTATGGTGTGAATTTCTGAATGCCTTTCTATTGAACATGAAAACCTTTTAAATAGTTTCGGACGTATCCGATCAGAAAAAAAGGAAGAAGGGCGGCAGAAGGGATGGTGATAAACTCTGATACCATAAGAGTTTATGGTGTGAATTTCTGAGTGCCTTTCTATTGAACATGAAAACCTTTTAAATAGGGAATGATACAACATAATAAAAGGAAACAATATATACACCAAATCAAGCACAATAAATAATAATCACAGAAAATTAGTCGAGTATCTCGGCTGATTATATGCATTGCTAAGAGTTCGGACATGTCCAACGGAGGTCTCCTGATGCACCTGTGCGTAGGGGAGTTCTACAGCGGGTCGATGATGTAAACTCACTTGGGAAGGGTCGGTTAAGAGAGACCTTAAAGATTGGAATATCTCCAAGGATTTAGCGGTGGATAGGAGCACTTGGAAGCTAGCAATCAACATGCCAGAACCGTGACTTTTGCTCCTTTCTCTTTTGCTCCAATCACTTCCTTTTGTTTTGAGCCCTTTTTGTGTTTCTCTTACCATTGGTTCTCTTGGGTTTCATCTCTAGCCTACCCCAACTTGCTTGGGACTAAAAGGCTATGTTGTTGTTGTTGTTGTTGTTTGAAGAGAAAAGAAAATGTGGCAACTATTGTGCAATGTAAATGCATATTGGATGATTTAGCATTCGGTTTTTGCACATTTCACAAGTCTAGGCAACAATAATGTAGCAAGTGCCATACATGGAACAAATTTATCAAAGATGATCAGTACCTGAGGCGTACTCCCATCATCAGATCTCTCATATTTGCTCAAGCACTCCTGCAATCTAAGAATCTAAAAGGAAACAAAGATCAGGAATCATACCCGGAATGTCCTAATATAATGGTTTGCAATGAAGTTCTACATGTCATGATTATAGGCCCAAGTATGAAAATGGATGAACCACGTGAAACCTTAATTTAACAGTAACATAGAAAGCACGTAGAGAAACTCGTTATCGATTACGTTTTTACCTCCTCACTTAAAAAGTGTAGGTTTTCCCTCTGATATTGCAACAAGGCCATCTGCTGATCAGACAGGCGTCCCCCATCATGGTACCTATTGCAAAAGACCAACATCATTATTTTTATATGAAAAAAGAACTACTCGTGAGTAATACCTAAGTGCTTCAACTCATAATCAGGTATTGAGAAGATAGTCCATCCTGTTTTGCAGACAGGGATGGTAAAAAATATGATCTTCAATTTTCAGAGACCACTTTGGTACCCTGTTTTCAAACGTTTAAGCAGCTCGAATAACAAGTTACAAGGTGAACTCTATCCTCTGTGAAACATTAATTAACTCTGTAAGATGCCTCTAAAGGAATAAGAGCTTGAAGCAAACATTTAAATCATAGCAGATGGAGTGTTGTCGGAGCTGTCATTTTTGTTTTGTCCCAGAAATTGGTAATGTTTAAAGTGACGAGGCACAAAACTAGAATACTTTTATCATTTCATAGAATGTTAATACTGCTAAGAAAAGAAAGTACATAGTCTGTTTCAGTAACTTCCCTTAATAATGTTTTCCTACTATGGGATGTGATTTCAATAACATTCGTATTTGATTCTAGCAAGAAAATCTTTCTAAGACGAACAAAGTATGATCAAGTCAATACCTCAATCCTTCTAAAGCACTTGACTGTTGCAGTGGAGAATACAGTGAGTTCAAAACATCAGGCTGGGAATCCAACGAATTGTACTGGTGCACATAACCTGCAGCCATCCAAAGGCTTTTTAGCAATTATTTTTCCTGACTTCATAATTAAATAGTATCTCAAGAAAGCAAATTGAATCTGTAAGTTATCAGTATTAAAAAAACAAAACAAAAAAAACTTGCACAGAATAACCTCCTATGGTCAGTTAACAGGAAGAAGTATTTTGGAATTTCAGAATTACGGCTCAATCATTACAAATGATGCAGTACCATCTGATAGTGGTGAGGTATGTGTGTGTGGCTTTTTTTNTTGTTAGGGTTCCTGAGATAATGACACCATAGTGAATCTTTTACTCTCAAAAAATATTTCATTCCAGTAATATAATTAAGGAGTTCAACTCACCAATGTAGACACTCATAAAAAACCCAGCACATATTGCTTCGACCAGCATAATAATTCTGCAAACGTAGACATGCAAGAAATCATCATAATCGAATTTACCTTGGGATGAACCAATAGACTTTCAAACTTGATAATAAATAAATCATACCATCACTGAAATGCAAAAATATGACATAAACGAGTATTGATCGATTTATAGCACAATCGAGCTTTAAGGTTCTATTTTTTAAACAATATTCTAATCAAGGCAAAAGACTAACTCAAGCTGTTGTCGTTGGAAACCTTCACAGCACTCATAAGCAATATGGCTATCTATGAAACCCACAAGGTTGGCTGGTAACTACTAATTACACTCTTCATCAACTAATTTTTCAAATAAAAATGAACGTAAAGTAGCACACATGTTGTCATGAACGGACACACGTACGCATATACAAAAAAATAAAAATGAAAATAAGCAAATAAAGAAGTGAAAAAGAGAGAGAGGAGCAAAATTAAACGAATAATAAATGGATAACTATATTATTCAAGAGCTAAATAAAATAACCCTTGCTACAGTACATTAGAAATTTTAGAACTAGGATTTCAAAATTATTTAAGTACCAGCCAACCAGATCATCATTACAAATAAAATATTAATATTTCATTCATCGTTCTGCCACTTTTTTCACATTGCAATACCAGTCAAGAATAAAGTTCAACATGTTTACCTGAGTAGCATAGACATTGATAAAATACTGATATGGGGTTTCCAGGCCATGACAAGCAACATTGCAGCAGTTCCTGCATTAAAATTTTGCAAAATCAATTCAAGAAACTTTTTTAACTTTAATTCCTAGAAGGTACACATGCACAAAGACAAGAACAAAGTTGTCAAAAGGCTAGTTGAAACTTAAACCATCTATATTTTCTGATATTAGATGCAGAGCACAGTCTAAAATACTGAAGGACAATGAAATTTAAAAAAGTATATTCTCCCATTGCACAAAACATCACTCAATTGTGTTAAGTTAACATTAGTAACACTCAACTTCAATTTCCTCCAGAAGAAATTATTAGGAATACTGATTAGGAGCATAAGATAAGGGAAGGCAGAAGCGCAACCAAACTGAATATATTTCCATTTCAAGCTTGAAGCAAATGCAATGAGCTAACCACATTAATGAAGATATTAACAGTTCCATGTTGGATCAGAGCTATTCAATGTTCAGCAAGTTGGCGAACACAAAGCAACCAATCGTAAACGAGGCTAGAGCCAGGATAAAATTTGTCAAAGTTATAAATCCTGCTCGGGAAGGCAACCTCAAGCAGGAGACTTAATATTTCCCTTGAACATATAATAATTATAGTTAAGAACATAATATCGTTTATTTTCTCAACCACCTTCTTAATAACTGAGGTAATAAAAAGTTAATAAGGTTTAATCCTTATAATAAAACTCAGGCAGAATACTTGAAAGATTATACTGAGACAGGAAAACCATATAGGGAAAAAAAAGTAATTATAATAATCATAGATACTTTAAGAGATTTAAGTTATGTCTTCATGAAGACATAAACAATCACATTTTACTTTACGAACTCAGGAATTATTTGGTGAAATATTATTTCTTCATATCAATTAAAAGAGGACTGACAGGAACTAATGAATTCTAAGTGAACGATCACAAGCACGAAAATACACATACCATACGCAATAGTAGCAAATGGCAGGCGAATTAAATGCTTCAACTTTTCGCTGAAACCATAGTACCCCTAGAAAAGCAACAGCATATCTCATTTTTTTCCAACAGCATAGACATCAAAAGTAGCAATCAGGAATAAACGTGGAAACATATGGAGGTAATCATGGTTCTTCTTTGATAGACTCAGCAATGTGCGTGATTAAGTTAAAAACCGAACAGAATTTGTAACTATATTTTCTGAACCCTCAAAACCATAAATTGGTGCAGGTTTACGGAATATGTTCAAACACGAATACGACCTTAACAAAACAAAATGCCAAATTTTCCATCAAAAATTCTGGTCTAAAGTTGTGCCATCAAAGTCATTGCAAAATGTAGCTTTTTATATATTCCTTTTGTATTTACTATACAATAATTTCAGGCAAGCATTAGTATGTGTACAATCACCAATCCTTCCCAACTACATCCCAAATTGATCAAATTCCAGACAAAATTAATCATTTATCATCAATCCCATAGCAGCTCAATAGATTCACCAGTTGAATCCAAAATGCGATTCATCTACTTGATTATATGTGCATGAAGGTACACCTCCATGATGAAGGCAATTCTATTTAGCCAATCAGCATGCAACTTCACTGAATGATATAGCTGTGCGTTAATTTGAAATGCTTCACAGGTCCAAACATTTTAAGAGTACATATCTTTATGCAAGCTAGCACTTTTGCTGATCCAAACAGAATCATGTTCATTGAGATCAGATTCTTTGATAACCACAGATATACCCAACGACCTGAACTGCTTGAAAGCAGCAAAACAGAATTCTTTGGCGCTTCAGAATGCTGAGAGGAAGGCAGTCTATAATATCAACTTCAAAATTCTCCTCTCAGTTATGATCAATAGATCTTCACAACAAAATTCTAGCAGCTAAGAGTATGATGAACTACATACCTGTAGGCGTATCTTCTTGACTTGGTAAACCAGATATTGTTGAAATACGCCTGTAAATGTTTAAAAGAAACTATCACTTGCAAATTTAATAATTCTCTGAACTTCAAATACATTGGAAAGTATCATTATGGTTTATGGGAGCACATACTAAATTGCATCATATTCCACGGAAGACTAGAAAATTTACCAATATCTAATAAATAGGCATAAGAAAAGGATATGTCATTCTGGCACTTTTTATAGGATTATTATAATAAGAAAAATATAAAAAAATTGCTGACAATTTAAAACCAGGGAGTCAGGGCTGCCTTGCTCACATTTATCTACAAATTACCTCCATCTTTCAATTGCATACTTTGGTCAGTCAGATTATAGAATTTTATATACAATATTAAATTAAATAATGGAATTACCAAAACATCCCTAGTTATAGTGAACTTACCAACTTACAGAAAAGTATAATAGCAAAAGGAAAAAACAGAAACATTATTTCAGAGGCGGAAGTTTCTTTTCAGTAATCTTCTTTAGCTATTGTGATCGGTTGGTTATAGCTAAGACAATAACATCACTATTAATACTAGGCACCATACTTAATACTGTTTACGAAAACATTGTGAGTGTGATTAAATCACAATGAAGTATCAGTTGCTAAGTGATGCAATGGAAGAATACAGGTAGAAATATCCATATATGCAGACATGAGTTGATTAAGGCAAGCAAAAATATAACTCCAAGGGCGAAACACATTATTTTCTCATGCTTCATATCCACCTCTTCTATCTTGACATTCTGGAAATGCAAGTAATCCGCTAATTCAATCATATATTAAATTCTTGAGTTTCAGAACCCCAGACTTAGTTTACTTTCAAAAGTTAACATAATCCAATTGTGTCAGAGCCTATTTCCAGCCAATATCACATATGGTTGATGTTTATCATTCACAGTAACTAGAGCCAGAGGAACATGAACATCTGAAAACTACAAAAAACGCAAACAAATACTACGAGGAAGCAGAACAAAAGCAATTTATGCAAGGAGAAGATTTCTCAAGAGATCAATCATAAAAATTAGGACAAACATCAACGCCAATTCTCCAATTATATAAGGAAAGAATAAACCCAAAAAGAAAATGGAAAGAGACCTGTGGCAACCAGAAGAATGACATCACAGCTACAGAGTAGTAGAACAATTAATTCTTGTAAGGAACTAAGTATCCAAGTAGCTCCCACAGCTAAAATCGCATAACCTGCCTAGAATCAAAGACATGTCAGTTTTTGCCAAATAATACTGCTGTCAGACCATCCCTAATAAATAGCAGAAACGACTTGCCAATAGAAGACAATATAAGACACTTCCAACAATCCTCGTTCGCCTCCTATGACCACACAATGGAGCCTCTTGCAATATGTCAAGGAACCTGTCAAAGCAGGTGGCAAAATCACCCTAACAAACAGACAAAAAACTGACTAAAGGTGCCACGATATGAATGAGCAAAATTCTGCAGCCTCTTTACAAAAATTGCTTCGATATAAATCCACGCAGAAGGTAATAAGCTGGACTCGGAAAAAAAATCCAAGAAAAAGGCACATTGCCATAAGAAAAATGCTACAATTACATTACATAGAGGTGTACATAACACTCACATGGAGTGGGGTCCACTTGATTTTTTATTTTTGGTAGGACCCACTTAATGTGAGTGTTATGTATAACTCTATGTACAATATTATGTACCTACAGCATTTCTCTTGTATAAGCCAATTGCCAAACTTTGACAACAAAGTTTTTGGGGAGGGAGGGATATGCACCCTAAACTCCTCAACTAAGCACAAGTAATCTATACAAAGACAAAACATCTTTAGTGAATTCCAGGATACATCCTCACTCATGCAGCAGTACCATATGAGCCCATAAAAGGACGGATAAATTCACCATTATACCTAAAAATACCACTTTAATTCAAGAATTACACAAAAAGCTAGTATGAATAACTAAGAACCAACAATTTCCAGGCAAGAAAAACAATCATAAAAAAATATCATTCCCAATTAAGACATCATTTATCAACTCGATTCCAGCGAACTTGCGAATTCTGTGCACCAACTAGCAAAACATTAAGAAAATCCTAAATCGTAAGCATTGATTAAATTAAATATGATGCTGGGAAAGAAAGAATCTCACAGGTTCGTTTCATCAGGGAATGCAGCGAAAGAAGAAGAATGCCTGTCTGTTGACATATTCGAACAAAAGTTATTTTTATCTACAATTGAAGTTGTTCCGCTAATTCAAGGTTTTCCGACGGCTTCTCGGCTGAATATGGAGCTCATTTGCTGTCTCAAAAGTTCTCAACGCCCTCAGTTATTCTTCTCCGAGGTGGAAATGATCGTTCCTCCTAACACCACCCCGTCGAGCATCGTCGTTTTGGAGATTTGAGGAAATTACAAAAATTTAAAGGTATTCAATTGAGATTTATGAAAAACTTTTACAAACTTTTTATAACTTTAGAAATCACGTTGTATTATATAGATTTTCAAAATTTTTAGAAGTCTTGAGTTATTCGGTTTTAAAAAGTCTTACAAAATCATGAGTTATTTAATTTATTTGAGATTATGATTTTTTAAGATTTATTGAAATTTCTAAATTAAAAAAATATATATATGTACGAAATATCACTCTATATGCCAGGATGGTTTGCTTTCGGGCAAATTATTAAGGAAGTTTGCACTGTTGCGACGAGACAAGTAGAATAAACCTTTTTGGGGTTTCATCTGGAAGCAACAGAATAAGAAAGTTGGATCAAAAGACTGAAGGATACAGCGGCTAAAAATGAAAAACCCACAATGAAACGAAATGACACTGGGAGCAAAGTGGTTGAAGGAAACTCTGTAGAGTTGAGATAATTCCAAGATGTCAAATTTTAAAGGAAAAGATAGACCGGAAAATTCTTATAATGCACATTAAGAAAGACAAATCCGACTGTTGGGGGACGCTCGAATCAAGGGCTGAGAATCTCGCCCAGAATTTGGTAAGGCGTATCCACGTAGACACTGTGCGTAGGGCAGAATCCGAGCATGTAAAAAGTTCTTTTTTTGCGTCTCGTGCTCTCGTGAAGTTACTCGGTACATTGAATAAAAAGGAAGGTCAGCAAATTCAAGTCACGCACATGTAAGTCCATTTCAGCATAAGGTCGGCCAGCTCGTACTAAAATGCGGTAGGTAAAGGATATAGCACATCGGTATAAGAGAGTAGCTCGGCTACAACCAGGCTCGGAGAACTCCCGTCGGTATAAAGACAGAATGCTCCAGCCCTCTTGATCCCCTTAGAATATTAGGTCATCAGGTGTACTTCAAGTCCAAGGGTCCTTAAGTCGTTTAAAGTCTAGGTCGTCCAAAGACCCTCAGATCGTGCACTTTAAGGTCGTCTGAGGGTAGCGGTTATGGTATCCAGGCTCTACGACCTCTAGGTCGTTCCAATAGGTCGCTCTTCCACTCCGGTCGAGCTCTCTATACATATAATATTTTCGGTTCATACACTCTTAAGATTATATCAGGATGAAGCTATGCCATATTCATATGAAGTGCATGTAATATGGATTGTGTTTATAGTTTTGTTATATAAATATATTTTTATAGTCGCTTTAGTAAGTCTATGATGAGACTCTAACGAGTCGAGATTTAAATAATCTTGATTTCATAACAAAGCCTTGAAGACGAATCTTGAGTGGGAGATAAATTATTAAGTATATTTATCAAGTGCCCGGGTTAGGTACTTGAGTAGTATATAGCTAAAGATTTATATAACATAGTAGAGTGACATGCCTATCATAGTGTGAGCTATATGTTATGACACATATATCATACTGCATGTGTTTTTGAACGATCACTATAGGAGTGACAAATGTTTCCCTACTTTGTCATGGTATGAATCCTATGGATTTTGTTTTCCAACTTTGTACGAAACCTTTCGACTTAAAACTATGTTATGAAATCGAGACTTATCGTTGCTACTTTAATATGTCCTCCAAGAGCTATGATCAATACAATTTAGCGGAACATGTTAGGAAAGCAACTAAGTTGAGATAGTTTCATAGTGTCTAAGGAATAACTGCTTCAACTTCACCACATAAGCCCGAACGGTTAAATTTTATATAACCATGTTGTGTCTATAATATATAGAGACTGTGTATATATGCTATCGGTTTTTTTTTTTTTTTTTTTGTTGTCGTATGTACGGAAGTGTTATGTAAGTTAAATGATGATTTAATATAACACTGCTATTGTTACTTTCGGTCACACGCTATTACTCGTGTGAGACAAGAGATTTGTTAAAAACATTTATGTTGATGTTTTGATGATATAATCTCGACGTAAGTGGCTGAGTGGGAATATTGTTAGTAATTGATGTTACATGCATCAATTACTTTGTAATATTCACTTAGTGGTGGAGTTGTTACTCACCTCCATTATGTATGGAGTTATGAGTGAGGATTGAAGACTTCATTAATGTATAGTTATATGAAGACAACTATAACAATGATGTATTTGTGCATCTTGAAAAGAAACACGGCAAGAAGAAAATAATTGAGTTTATATCATCAAAAGTAATCTTTAAGTGCATTTTTCACTCATTAAGAGAAAATCATCATAAGGCGACTCGAATTTTAGAACGTGAAGGATACCAACATTTTAGTAGCCATTGAATTAAAGATAATGACAAATTTTCGTTTCTACTACAAAAATGTTAGTCCTATGCTTTTCTATGTATGCATGTTATATAATACTACTAACAATATGATGAAAGTAGAAAAAAACATATTGGACTAGACTGTATGAGGGAAAAAAAAAAAGAAAAATTTCTCAATGTATAGTATGCTAGTTTTAACGGATTGGTCTAATGGTGTACTGTGATACAATAGACCAAAACATATCCCACCCTATCCACACATAAAAATATTATTTGGACACAAAATTTCATATTAAAGTTGATACAGTGTAATTGCATGAATTAAATAAAAAATAACCCAGTCTGTAAAATAATGGAATTGTGTCACATATACAACATTATTGTGTCACATATACATAACGTCAAACTTTATGTCCGTATACCATAATCCATCTACATGTGCGTACTTCTATATATTTTTCATATTCTATGTACACGTTTTACATCCACACGTTTATTGTAGGTACACGTTCTATAGTGTACATGTACCAATTCACACCAAGAATAACTATACCAAATTATCAGTTTTCCTATGAAACCATCGGATGGTTCGATTTATGGAGTCATCTACACATAATCACCAATAGTGTATTGACACGTGTCCTGCAATAAATACACTTTGGACAAGTGTCAATACATTAAGTGGTGGATGACTCCATAAGAAAACTATCTGATGGCTCCATAGAATTTTTACCAAATTATATCTTTTATTACTGTAGGTAATGTTTAGTTACGTATTATAACATCATTATTATAAATGATATGATCAAACTCACATATAATAACAAGTTCCCGAATTTAAGTCTCTTTGTTATCATAATACAATAAGTTCATAACATCAAAGTGATGAATAACCCATTTTGTGATGTTTTGTACTGAAATACTTTGTAACGCTAATAATCAGGAATAACCGATAACACAAATTTTGTATAAGACGGCCTAATCATTAGACGGATCAATTAGCATATGGGTTCAGCTGCACAATCTTCCAATTGCGTTTATGAATAAGAGGGCGATTCAATCAATTGCCTCTAATGCTGGTACCGTTATTGAAGTCGACGAAGGGGAAGGAGGAAATTTTTGGGGGCGATTCGCACGCGTAAGGGTGTCCTTAAAACTGTCTAATCCTTTGAAAAAATGTGTAAGTGTCCGAGTGGAGAATCAAGCAGATGAAGTCATCATCCTTCTGGTTTACGAACGCCTTCCAGATTTCTGCTACCTCTGTGGACGTATAGGGCATGTTTTGAAGGAGTGCGAGGCTACAGAAGGAAACAGTGAAAACCTTCCGTTTGGATCGTGGTTGAAAGCTTCAACCCACATTACTGGGAAGAAGAACAGAGAAGAAGGCCGTGCTTCGCCTCGGAGCTCCCCAGTTGGCTCTTCATCATCGATCCGTAGTACGGGTAAGTCAGGGGAATTATTAAAACGAGATTCTCACAGCCCCGATAACGATCCGCATAATTCGACTGGTATCGCCAGTGAACCGCGGAACATAACAACAAGTGGAATTCCTGAGCCTTCTAAAAATTCCCATATATTAGTACACAATGAGAAATGTATCGAGGTCTCTAAATCGGTTTTTAACGAGAAGTCGGCCGAGGTTTCTCCCGTTCTGGATATGATGCAAGATAATATAGATGACCCTCAGGACCTTCCTCTTCCAATTTCACTTCAAGAAGGCATAGACTTGGAGAAAATTCAATCCTCGACAATGATGTCCCAGGTCGAAGACAAGCCAGGACTTATATATTCCTCAGAGCGTCGACCAAATAAATGGAGGCGTTTAGATAGAAGGGGCTGTCCGACTGAGTCCTCAATCGATCTCATTTCTCCTTTAGTCGCCTCAAGTAAAAGACAGGCGGAAGCCAATTTGGTTGACGAGAATTCAAAGCCCAAAGTTCAAAAAAGTTGTGATCGTGTTCCCTCTAACACTATGAATCCAGAATCGGCGGAGGTTGCTTTGCAACCCCGCCGAGAAAAATGAGTTGCATATGCTGGAACGCACGGGGCTTGGGGAACCCCCGTGCGTTCAACAACCTTCGCCGCTTAGTCGAGGAGAAGAAACCCTCTCTATTGTTTCTCTGTGAGACGAAAGTGGCGGAGGAAAAATGTGCGAACTGGCGTCACTCCCTTGGTTTTCCAGGTTGTTTCGTAGTCAACTGTCGTGGTAAGAGTGGTGGGTTAGCAATCCTTTGGAAAGAGCATTTTCATGTTTCAATTAAATCGTTTTCGCCGGGACATATTGATTGTGTGGTTGTGGATGATTATCGTTGTTGGAGATTTACAGGTTTTTATGGAGATCCTATGACAGCCAATAGAAAATTTTCCTGGGATCTATTACGCAAGCTTAAACAAGACAACGACCTCTGTCATCTTCCTTGGCTAGTTGGAGGTGATTTTAATGAAATTTGTTTTCTTAGTGAAAAGTGTGGTGGTCGACCTCGAGCTGCAGCTCAAATGGACGCGTTCCGCGAAGTGCTTGTACATTGTGATCTCCGGACCATTTTCACTGAAGGGGATCCTTTTACTTGGGTTAATCGTAGAAATGCTGGAAATATGATTTTTGAAAAACTGGATAGATTTGTCGGCTCTTCCTCGTGGTGTGATCTTTATCCTGTTGCTAAGGCGCGGTCCTTAGAATTCTTCGGATCAGACCACAGGTCGATTGAAATTTCGTTAGGACAGCGAGCAGCTCCAATCATAAAAGGTAATACTTCCTTTCGGTTTGAATCTTGCTGGTTAAGTGAAGAGAATTTTGAAAGTGTTGTGGAAGAAGGATGGAGAATGGCCGATTCCTCAGCTCCAATCACTCAAAAATTAGAAATCTGCAGTGCTTTTATTACAGCTTGGGCGGGATCACAATTTCGCAAATTCTCTAAAAACATTAAAGAGCGAAGATCTGAGCTTAATCACTTGAAGGTAGCAGATAGATGGGAAGCCAATTTCGAGCGTATTCAAGACTTGGAGGAGCAAATAGACAAACTAACTCTCCAAGAAGAAATTTTCTGGCGACAAAGGAGTAGGATTTCGTGGCTTAAGCAGGGCGATAAAAATTCAAAATTTTTTCACGCTCAAGCATCCCGCCGAAAATCGAGGAATAGTATCAAGGGGCTTCTTAACTCGCAAGGGGATTTCTGCACTAAAACAGAGGGAATGATGGAAATAGTGACGGACTACTACTCATCGATCTTTCAATCGAGCAACCCAACTGAGGCAGATATAAGGGCAGTTTGTGATGGTATCTCTCCGAAAGTTGATGAAAGTATGAATCTGTTTCTTGGTACGCCTTTCTCTTCGGAAGAAGTTAAAAAAGCAACCTTTGATTTGGGCCCTGAACAAGCTCCTGGTACTGATGGTTTCTCTGGTATTTTCTATCAACGTTTTTGGCATATTATCGGTTTTGATGTTTGTGCTGCAGTGAAGAAAGTCCTTAATGACGGAGCAGATCTCTCAGAGTGGAATGCGACTATTATTACGTTGGTCCCCAAAACGGAACATCCAGTTTCTATAACAGAATATAGACCGATAAGCCTATGTAACTTCCTCTACAAAATTGTTGCTAGAACTTTGGCTAACCGGTTTCGAGAAATCCTGCCTTCTGTCATTAATGAATATCAATATGCTTTTGTTCCTGGGAGATTGATTTCTGATAACATTATTCTGGGATTTGAAGTTATGCACTGGATCCGTAATCATCGTCAAAGTAAAAGGGGTTATGCAGCTCTCAAGTTAGATATGAGCAAAGCTTACGACCGTGTGGAATGGAATTTCTTAGAAGCTACCTTGAGAAGTCTGGGCTTCAGTCTCTGTTGGACTAATAAAATCATGAATTGTGTTCGGTCAGTATCTTACTCTTTCAACTTTAACCAAAACAGATTTGGGTGTCTAACTCCTTATCGCGGTATTCGTCAAGGAGATCCTTTGTCGCCATATCTCTTTGTTTTGGTGTCCCAAGGGCTTTCACACCTTCTCCTACAGGCTGAACAAAACAAAATTCTGAGAGGTGTTCGAATTGCAAATAATTGCCCGAGTATATCTCATCTATTCTTCGCGGACGACAGCCTGGTATTTTTTAGAGCTGATATTCAAGACGCCCTAGCTATTCAGAATTGTTTGCATACGTACGAGAAAGCTTCAGGCCAAGTTATTAACTTTCAGAAATCCTCTCTCTCTTTTAGCCCGAATACTTGTCCGGAAATGATCGCCAATGTAAAAAATCTCTTAAAAATTCCTATTGCTCAAAGTCATGAGATATACTTGGGCCTCCCAACATTTTCTATCAGGAGCAAACGTACTCAATTTGGTTACCTCAAAGAGAAAATCGCTCATCGCATACAAAACTGGAATCACAAATTCTTTTCTGAGGGTGGGCGAACGGTACTTTTACAATCAGTTCTTCAATCCATTCCGACCTATGCAATGTCGTGTTTTCGTATTCCTATTTCACTATGCGAAGAAATCGAGCGTGACTGTGCTAATTTTTGGTGGGGTACGGACAAAGGATCAAAGAAGATGCATTGGTGTCGTTGGGAAGTCCTGTGTAAACCAAAATTCTATGGAGGATTGGGATTTCGCGATTTGTCAGCTTTCAATAAAGCTTTATTAGCTAAGCAGGTTTGGCGTATTTTAAAATATCCAGATTCTTTGGTGGCAAGAGTACTTAAAGCTCGTTACTTCAGGCATTCGGACATGATGTTAGCTCCAGTGGGCAATAAACCTTCATACATTTGGCGATCGTTGATATGGAGCAGAGAGATTATTTCAAAAGGCTTTTCCTGGAAGATTGGTGATGGACAGTGCGTTGATATATTCCAAGACACCTGGCTTCCATCTCGACTTAAGTGCTTCTCCTTTGTCCAGCATAATTTCCCTTCGATCTGTAAGGTACGCGATCTTATTAGTGACGGTGAATGGAACGAAAATCTCATATCTCATCTTTTTCCTCAAGTTATTGCTGAAGAAATCTTGCAAATTAATCTCCCAAGTTTCCCCTCTAAGGACGATCGTTTTTGGTGGTCTGAAGGCAAAGGAAATTATTCAGTCAAAGAGGGCTATAAAGTTGAAATGGGTTTCTACGCTTCCCCCGAAAACCAATCTGCTACTCATATCCGGAAGTGGTGGAAATTCTTATGGGCGTTGAATATCCCTTTAAAGGTTAGAACATTTTGGTGGCGTTTAGCAAATGATTTTATCCCCACAGTACTGAACTTAGCTAATCACCATGTTCCTCCCCCTGGAGGCTGCAAGCTTTGCAATCATTATGCTGACACCTCACTGCATTCTATTTTTTTCTGTACTCGGGTGCTGCCACTCTGGAAAAATACTACCTTTTTCCCTCTTATTTCAAAGGCAAAATGTGGTTCTACTTTGGATTTTTGTACATGGATGCAATTAAGTTTGACAAAACACGAGTTTGAAATTTTTGCTCTTTCAACTTGTTTAATCTGGAAAGAAAGACAAAGGGTTATCCATGGCCCTAATCGCAATGAATGTCTCAAGTTAAGCGCAGGAGTTGAAAGCTTAGCTCGTAATTTTCAAATGTCATCCGGCGCCCTTGATAATACTCAAAGTTCAGAAGATAGTCAAAGTTATCTCAAATGGAGCCCTCCCCCTGAAAATTCAGTTCGCCTTGATGTGGACGCAAGTGTCAATATGAAAGAAGGCAGGTTCGGTATAGGAGGAATCACGCGCGATGATCAAGGTAGAGCTCTTTTTGCCTTTGGAATGCCAGTCAGTAATCCGGGTTCAGTTATTCATTGTGAGCTTTTGGCAATCAAAGAAGGGTTGGATAAATGTCGATCGTTGGACCAATTTCCTCTCTTTATTTACACGGACTCTCTGTTGGCGGTACAAGCAGTTACCGACTTCAAAGAGACACACGGCTATATCCGATCGTGGTCTAAAGATATTGATGCACTTATGGCTCAAGCAGCAGCTTCTAGACGTCTACTTCATATGCGTCGCTCGGCCAATAATGTTGCTCATTCTCTTACTAAATTTGCTTCTTTTTCAAACTCCCCTTTCGTATGGAAAGTGGATGTTTTTCCGTCTTGGCTTAAGGAACTTATATGTACGGACTTATGTTCTATTTGAATTTTAATGATAAGTTTCTTTTCCAGTCAAAAAAAAAAAAATCATACATATATTTATGTATGACTGTTGATAAAGTATGACGACTTAATAGTTAGACTTGTGTGATAGCAACCTTACTTTTAACTCAAATAAATTTCATTAATTAAATATCTCTTTTCTATTATTCTTATTATTATTATGAATTTATTCAAGGCTTGTAACTAACTGAATGCTGCAGTCTACAATGGGACATATAATTAATTTCCTAATTTCTGAAATATACGAATTCGTCCGGGGTTTGGTTAACCTCCATTGAGGAAGAAGAGAAAGTAGAAGTAGTTGGAGTTTGATTTGAATTTAAATTTTGCCAGTCCTAATTTATTTTGACCTTTGAGCAATATGAGATTAAACAACTGATTTTTATTATTATTATTAATTTTATTTTACTTTTTGTGCAATTTTAAAGCTATTCAACAATTTTACACAGCCTAATCTGCTTTCATTGGATATGATAAATAAATGAAAGACTGGTGTTTAGAAGTTTCTAAGTGCTAAAATCAGGAAGTGTCTTTTTCAAGACGTAGAATTTCGAACAGGGTTCTAATTAGCCAAATGTGGTGCTTCTAAATTATTGGCCACAAAAATCTTACAAAATTAAACATAGCCTAATGTCGTTGTTTTAACATTCAAATACAAGCTACAATATTTGTTTTTTTTTTTTTTATTTTAATTCTTTATCAGGAAAAAAAAAATAAGGAAATTTTGATCCTGAAACCCATAAATATCATTAGAGTACTGACGTGGATTTTTATTTTTTCAATAAATAAGAATATATATAAAAAAAAAAGTTTTTCCATCCTTTGTCTAATATCAATTGAAATTTATTAGTCTTCTTAAATTGGGATCATTAGGGTCATCCCATGGGTCTTGCATCGGAAGAGAGGACCCGTACACAACAAGATGTAACCCCAACAACTGCCTTATGGTCCTACACGAGATAACCAATAATTAACATTACCATTAGTCAGATAATAACGTATACAGTATGAACACAATGAATGTACACATAGATGAGCAATCATGTACTGATATGCGCATACATGAACTGATGAA